TACTGTTCGTTATTTCCATATCCTTCTTGTAAAGCAAATTACAAAAACGCCAGTCGTCTCCACTACAAAAGAGGCCGCATTTGAAAAGTTCGAGTTCAGGCAAGAAGGTCATAAAATTCAGCACAACTTTAACGAAGATAGGCTAAAGAAATTAGACGAAATTGAGCAAGCTATTAAGAACGGCGATATCGACAGCGTCCTTGAAATTATCGAGGAGAAGGCTGAGCTTAAACAAAGGAACAAAATCCTAAAAAAAGCCGACAGACACGGTTTGGATACCGTACATGAATACCTGGACGACCCCCTTGCCGACGACAATGACGATGCGGCAAAACTTCGTGGTGCTGTTAATCGTGCTGCTAGGAAGCGGAATTTCCGATACAAGCCTTACGGACAAAAGCCCGGAGCATTCGACAAAAATGAGTTTTTTCCGGGCTTCAGCAACACAGCTAACTTTGGATCGGCATTCAGGCAGCCCTACAGAGCATTCAACGACCACAAGTGTTTCTACTGCAGACAACCGGGCCACATCGTCCGAAATTGCCCTCACGCCAAGTCTCAACAAGTCGGATTTTAGCAGCACATTTCATGGTACACGGATGTTTTTTATCACAGCATGATGCCCCCGTCAAATTGCAAATTATTATTATTACAGATTGAAATTAATTATCCCCGGACCCCGGGTAAGTGTTGAACTATTCACTTTTTCATTTAGGCATTTCTTCTATTTCTAGACGTCAGGAGGTGACGTCGTGGTGAAGTTCTTCCTGTAGTTTAAGTCCCATTGAAGTCTATAGAATGGATAATGATAGCAAAAGTTTTATCCATGACTTTTACGATTTCCTAGTGTTACTAATTGTCTTAAATATCACATAATCTTACGTGCTGAGGTAGTTTCATCACTTTAAATGTACACAATATATATTCATTTATTTGCAATGTCTCTTGCTGACACCACCTACCAATAGAAAGTAGGTCAGACATGTATTATACCATATGACATTTCAAGTTTTGTCAGTTTCTCCTTATTACATGAATAACTTCATTACAGCTTCTCCTTTCTTTCAAGCAGATATATTAATTTTTTTTCATTTTTTAAAGAAAATTAACAAGAGCTATATTTGAGATCGGTTATTGTCTTTAAAATATGTTTATCAGGATGATATATACTTAAATATAATTTGGAACCTGTGAAGCTTTATCACAGGTCCCCAGGGTTCTATGCTTGATTGTACACAAACTTTGCTGTGAAATGCCTAAACTAATTAAAGTTAGCCTGTTCTTAGCTCTTGGCCATGCCACATAAGAGAAGAAAGAGGAATCAGGAATCCACCACAGCCGTGCCAAGAAACAAGACATTAACAGCCAGCCGCAAATATCAGTAACACAGACGCCCCAGAAAGTGTATCCTCTCAGGACAGCCAAGTGTCGATCGATTACGACAAGCTGGCCGCAGCAATCATCAAGCAAACTTCAACATCTGTCCCTAATGCAGAATCTTAAGCTTCGCAACCAGCATCAATTGCAATATATGCCATTCCTTGTCATCTCTCTCTCTCTCTCTCTCTCTCTCTCTCTCTCTCTCTCTCTCTCTCTCTCTCTCTCTCTCTCTCTCTCTCTATATATATATATATACATGTATATATATACTGTACATCATCTCTTCTTTCTCTCTCTCTCTATATATATTTAATATACTGATTTTTATTATCAGACACATTAAGGGAGAATAATTCTGAGAAAGCAACTCAATCGGCCACCAGTCAGGATGACCACTACCTTCCAAAGAGGGGGATCTGCGTGGAAAGATGTCGTTACGTAAGTACTTAGTACTATCATGCATCCAAATCTTCCGAGTTTCCCTTAAATTGAAAACTTTTATATTTACGTTAGTTATATCTATGTCTAGTTAATTGTTTTTATCAATAATTTAGGTGGTAGCTGAGAACCAAGAAAACTTTGAAGTACCAGGAGGTTATGTGAAATCTGTGGAGGGCCATGATATTTACATCGAAGCAAAATGGATGGCTAATATTAGGAAACTGTTTAGAGGGAAGACCAAACCCCACTGCTTGAAATTGATCATGAATGGGTTCTATGAGCCTAAGGAGCTGCAGAAGAAAACTGCAATGATATTGCTACAGACACCTCTAGGCCAGGCTTTGAAAGGTGAGATCAATTTAAAAATGTATTAAGTTATTATCACTAATTTGATTAATTATATCTTTTTAATTTGAATTAAGTTTATAAATAATTAATTAATTTTTCTATTTTATCTTACAGCTTTTGCCATCACAACTTTTTGAATGGACAACACAGACATTGTGAAAGCCATTAACACAAAGATCGGTACCATGTGCCGTGCCTTGAAAGAAAACAGACTTTCCAAATAGGTATCTGGTGCATTTTCCATGTTTTCATTCATTTAATCAAAACTTGCTAGTAGTAAGTGGGGTAGTCTAAAGGCAGTATGAGGGCAGTGACGTCATAGGTCACACCCAGGGCAGTTTGAGGGCAGTGACATCATAGGTCACACCCAGGGCAGTATGAGGGCAGTGACATCATAGGTCACACCCAGGGCAGTTTGAGGCCAGTGACATCATAGGTCACACCCAGGGCAGTATGAGGGCAGTGACGGCATGCTGCTTTTTGTGGAACCACCCAAATAAGTCACGAATCAAGGTCACGTTAAGGGCACTAGCGTCATGGGGTTTTCTGGGATCCACCCAAATGAGTCACGAATAATGAGATATAAAACTCTCAACAAGATGACATCAACTATTCACACACCCTTGACCTAATAGAGATTTTACGTACAATATAAAAAGTCGAAAATTGTAATATAATTGCACAATCGGATGTTAAAGAACTTCCAACTTGTATAGCAGGAAAGAGACCTTAAAGAGCTTCCAACTTTTACCAAGTAAGTATATTGTAAAACAAGACTAATTTCATGTTACTAAATAGTTTTTATTAGCTCACTTGAGCCGAAGGCTCAAGTGAGCTTTTCTGATCACATTTTGTCCGGCGTCCGTCTGTCTGTCTGTCTGTCCGTCTGTCTGTCCGTAAACTTTTCACATTTTCGACTTCTTCTCAAGAACCGCTGGGCCAATTTCAACCAAACTTGCCACAAAGCATCCTTGGGTAAAGGGGATTCAAGTTTGTTCAAATGAAGGGCCACGCCCTTTTCCAAGGGGAGATAATTATGAATTAGAGAAAAATTAATGGCATTTTTAAAAAATCTTCTTCTCAAGAACCACTGGGCCAGGAAAGATGAAACTCATGTGGAATCATCCTCAGGTAGTGTAGATTCAAGTTTGTTCAAATCATGACCCCCAGGGCTAGGGCGGGGCCAAAATGGCCGACCAAAGTTTCACATAGGAATATATAGGAAAAATCTTTAAAAATCTTCTTCTCCAGAACCACTGGGCCAGGAAAGATGAAACTCATGTGGAATCATCCTCAGGTAGTGTAGATTCAAGTTTGTTCAAATCATGACCCCCAGGGCTAGGGCGGGGCCAAAATGGCCGACCAAAGTTTCACATAGGAATATATAGGAAAAATCTTTAAAAATCTTCTTCTCCAGAACCACTGGGCCAGGAAAGATGAAACTCATGTGGAATCATCCTCAGGTAGTGTAGATTCAAGTTTGTTCAAATCATGACCCCCAGGGCTAGGGCGGGGCCAAAATGGCCGACCAAAGTTTTACATAGGAATACAGTACCCGCAACGTTATTCTTGACATGATACACGATAGGATAGGATACACGCACGATACGATAGGATACACGCACGATACGATAGGATACACGCAAAACCTGATAAACGCAAATCCTGATAAACGCAAAACCTGATAAACGTAAAACCTGATAAACGCAAAACACGATAGACCTGATAAACGCAAAACCTGATAAACGCAAAACACGATAGACCTGATAAACGCAAAACCTGATAAACGCAAAACACGATAAACGGATTTCCTGATAGGAATATTAAAAATAAAGAATTAATTAAAAGAAAACGATATTAAACTTATAATATATTAATTTACATTAAATGTTATTTATTTTGATGTTGAAGCTAATATATCGATTAAATTGGAAGGTGAAAAAAATATGTGTTGTTATAAAAGATCAAAATTGACAAACTGCAAAGCGGAGAAATTATTTTTAAACATGTAATTAGCGTTTAATTTATAAATTGATATGTTACACGTAACTGTTTGTCTTTACACTGTTTTCATTAAAAAAAATCCACTTGCTTTGATGACCACTTCAAACGATCTTTGAATCTATGTATGATTAATGTGTGGTACGTGTAAAAAACAGATAAAAGTAATTATGAGCAGTTTAATTGCTGTATAATTATCGATAGAATTAATGATTCCGACGTATTTCATCGACGAAGAAGAATGTAATCATTTATACAGTATCACAGACTAAAGAAAGAGCAACCTGACTACCGTAAGTATTACTTCTTTTTTTCATTAACATAAATATAAAAACTAGAATAAGATTTCATTCTTGAAAGTTTTGAAAACTTTTTATAAAAAAAAAACCCTTTTCTGAGAGCACACCGTCGTAAAGGGGGTCGTGTGCGCGTGTCAAATCAGGGATCTGTTGTGTGTATTTGGTGTACACCTCCTACATGTACCTGTTTCAACAGGTGTTGTAAAGACACTTGCAAATCTCCCATCCACATTAAAAGGGTTTCAAACGAAGTCTAGACAAACATACATCATTAGGCAATAATAAATTCCCATACACATGCAGAGGTGAAAGCTGCCTTAAAGAGCATTGAAGTTGTACATTGTAAGTAGCTTTATCATTAGAGAGTTATTTGATATTAAGTTTAAAAAAATGAATAAAAAAAACCCCAACAGTTAATTAAAAGGAATTTCCCCCAATTCCTTGAAATATAATTACATAGCTTAAATTCTATAACAATTACAAGCGAAAGAAAAAAAAATATTAAAACATTTTAATTGTTAAAAGTTTGAAATTCAAAGTTTAGAAACTGTTATATATTATTATATTTATCAAATAATTAGACTTTCTGTTGTCAAAACGGAAGACAGTCATTCAAAACTAATTTATTTTTAAAATTCTGGATCCTAATTCCCTGAATGACGATCCTAAGGACTCGTTTTTAATTTCTTTACAAAATCGACAATTGTATCATAAATGTGACACAAACAAACCTTCATCCAAAAAAAAAAAAAATAAAAACATGTTTAAATGAGTAAAATGAATAAGTTTGAACCATAGGCGCTTGGTTACACGATGGTGTATATTCTGTATAACGTGTTTGTTCTAGGTGTGTCTGAATACTTTCATTAAAATAAAAATAAAAATTCGCCGAAATTGGCTCGTTTTAAAAAATATCAGATTTAGAGTAAAGGAGCGTCACTCGCCATCTTCAAAATCAGGGGGTGCCTCGGTTCACACTTGATTTTAATCCATATTTACATTTTTGCTACTGGTGTTGGAAGAGATCTAGCTTCAAAAATGATTGAATGAGTGTATTTTTACTTAAATTTGACGACCCGCAAGGCAGAATATGAAGTGCCCCTCCCCCCTTTATTCCCTTTTGGCACTGTCGGTTAAAGATATTCTTTGCAATAAATTTATGTCATCTAGATTGTTTTTATTATTTCATTTTAAAATATATGTTTATTTCATTTATCGCGATAATTCAGCTCGCCTCGAGAAAATTTCCTTCCGAAATAACAAAGTTTTGCTTGTCAAAGTTGCACTTACTTTCACTTTCTCTTTTCATTTGTGTGTCATTTCCACCACTTGTGTTTTCTAGTCCGACCGGCGACCGCTATCATTTTATGCTCAATGCATAATTTATTATTATACTGTAAAGTTAAGGACCTTAAAGACTTACAGTAGAATGGATAAACAAAGAGGAACAGAGAGAAAAAGACTGAAAATTATTCTATGTTTAATTATCATGTTTAAGGTGTCGCTGTTGTAAGTAGTTTTCTTGATTTCATGCAGGTCCAGTAAGAGGCCATTTTGTACCTACGACTACGTAGCCATTAATAATGTAGCTACCTATGTATTAAGACGAAGTGGGGGTTTATAACGTGAAAACTACAATAGAAAAACTCTTTTCATTTTGCTCTATAATCTATATATGTACAGAACATAACTTGCATTGACTTCAGTGTACATGCCAAGTTAAAAGTTCATGGACTCAGATTTGAAGTTAATATTTTCACAACTTATATACTCAACCAAAAAAAGCATATTCAGATAATCTAAGTTTCAGATTAATTCTTATTTTTTTTAAGGGTTTTGATAAAAATCAAACCACTTTCAAACTTGTCATCGATCGTTGCAAGAAAAAGTGAAATTTATGTCATTGACCATGCCTTCAAAATCTAGGGGCATCTCATTTAACCAATGCATATGTCCTTTGTGATGTTTACGCACTGTTTGATTTCCAAGTACGAATTTCAGCTCCTCTCTGTTACAAACAACTTATGCACATTTACGCTGATTTCATCATTCAGCAATTGTAGCAGCAGTTTTAACAGTAGTTCTGAATCGCTTAAGATGCAGGAAGGGGAGGATCTGACGGTCCTACCCGGGTGTGGATACCTGTGGTCGGCCAGTTCTTGGTCAATCAAACCCATCCAAAATCTGAAGGTTCAATGTCTTCTAGATGAAATAAATGTTTTTAAATACATTTTAAAAATCATCCAAAAACAACTTTATCTTAGAATGCTTGTCAATGATGATTTGTTTTCAAATTGGTGGTACATATCTCTATTTTTAATAGCTACCCAAGATAAACTGGTAGATCTTCATTTCTTTTTTATCCCCCCCCCCCCCCCATATGGCAGGGGTATATAGTTTTGTAGCTGCAGATCTGTAGCTCTCTACTTGAGAAAATTCGGACAGATAAAGCAGAGAGCTATAGTTTTCCAAGCGTTGTAAAAATCGATTTACGCCGACGATTTTTCGTCGCTTCCGTGTATTTTCTAGTATTTTATACACACTTAAAAAATTATATGTAATAAGTAATCATACATTTAACTTCAATTCCTGATAACTTACCTTTCACATGTGTTTCAACGCTAACATATTGCTTTGTGTTTACGGACTTCGAAATGGAACTCTTTTAAACCAATATTATAAAACTATATACAGGAGTGTTTCGGACCACTCTAAGGTAAATAAAGTATCAACAAAAAAAGTTAAATATATGATTAATTATAGGTTATTATTCTAAGAGCAAGAGAAAGTTTAAACTACAAGAAATAAATGCTTACAGTAGCGACGAAAAATCGTCGGCGTAAATCGAAGGTTTTTACAACGCTTGATCTGTAGCTCTCTGCTTTATCTGTCCGAATTTTCTCAAGCAGTGAGCTACAGATCTGCAGCTAATAGTTTTGTCATATTATCTTCTGTCCTTCAATCACACTTTGCATTTAGCTTTTGACCTTCCCTCTGACCTTGACCTCACTTTTTGCATTATTGGTTAATCTAATGAATATATACCGTTTAATATCCCATTCAAGAATTTTTCACTGACACAGAGATGTCTTACCATTCACGGTCGCTCAGTCTGTACAGCACTTGCCCCGTGGTCAAGAGGTCGGGAGTTCGTATCTCTGCCATGATTGACCTAGTCGTTAAAATGGGTAGCAACTGTTCCTTCGCCATGCGCTCGGATGAGAAATTATTTAGATATCTCATACATAGATTCGGTTTCAAAATAATTTTCAAATAATTATTTAACTTTAGTAGTTATAATTAGATGTATCAGAAAAGAAAATTAATATATATTGGAAGTGCATATTTAATTTAAGAAAATCTTTGAATGTATTTTTTATTTATGATAAGAAATAATAAGAAATAATTGCATGCAATTGTATACATAGGAAAGTTATTCTGTTAATATTACTGGTAAACTTAACAAGTCCATTTTTCTCTGGATTTATTTAAGGGAGAAAAACTTAACTTCCCGCGGCCCTCTCAATCTCAGTATCATATAATCATGTATAAATTTAAAGATGACTCTAAAAGGTGGGTCTGGTAAGAAATTGCTTGTTCGAGTAAAATTTTTAACTTGACAGACATTTTGTCCTGTCAACATGGTAAAAATGTTGATCTTTTGCATACTAGACATTATCAGTGAAGGGCTTAAAATATTTTTACCTTTACTTGACACTTGGGGTATCGTGCCAATATCTGCCTGCTCTGCAGTGACATATTGAGATTAAATTATTAAATTAGTGTTCAGCTAATTAAAAAAAAACATTCAAGATATCTTTTATCAAACTTCATGTGCTGCTATTCAACTACATCATCATTTTTAACCTAGCCTTTCCTATGACCTTGACTTTACTTTCACGAATGCAATTTTTCATGTTGCATAACTAATAAAAACCCCTCTGGAACATTCATGTCCTAATAATGGACATATATTGTATTTCTAGGTTATATATGGGAAAAATCTGTGAAAGTTAATAGACTTGAGTTGATAATTATACTGGAATGTAAATTTTGCCAAGAAATATGTCAGGAGCTAAGCTAAGGAGGACCAATATGTATGCATGTGAATCTTGTGTGTTTTAATCTTAGGCCACACCAATATAATTCATTGTATGTTCGTCGGACCCCGCCCTCTCCTATTTTAATGAAACTATACAAATAATATTAATTTAAAATTCCCGCACTATAGGAATTCTGTGCTGTTTTCTGGTATACTAGTATTTGTGCTCTATTTTTTGTCCTTTTAATCTACTTACTCTGCAAATCAGAAAAAATATAACTATCAGCTCAATTTTTTTTTCACACACCGCCTTATATTTTGCCTTCAAAAAAGTAATAATACAAATGTATTGTTATTTAACCGCTAGCCCACTCGTACTTTTCTCATCAAATGTCCGACGAACAAGAAATTGATTGGGGTGGCCTTAATAGTAGGCGTTATATGCATGTAAATCATGTGTGACTGTCTTTGTGTTTGACGTCAATCAGCGAGGCTATATTATATAACAATACATGTATTGACATAAAGACCTCATGTTATCTTTTCGACGACATTTTTGAAAAATGAATTTTCATTTTTTTAGCTTTTCTGAGCCAAAGGCTCTAACAGCTAATGCTGGGGCTATTTTTGCAGTGTGTGTAGACTGTTAGGCATAACTCAAGAACCTGTTTGCAATCATTGCCAAATTTGTCACAAGGTATCCCTGGTCTAAGGACTAGCATTTACACTAAAGCTAGGGTTGGGAACTTTCAAGAAGGGGATATATTGAGAGGTTTATATTTTAAATCTTGTAAGTTAATGCATCTTGAGGCCTTTAAACATATTTATAAAAAAGCAGGTCACTGTGACCTACTTTTTGAATTTTTCAAACATTTGTTTTCAAATTGTTTAAAAGGCATATGTTGAATACTTTTCAGACTTAAATTATGATCATCAAACTTGGTGATCAATGATGCATCTTGAGTCAACCAAAATGTACATATTAGGAACTTATTGGATTAGAATCATCAAACTTTGTTATTAAATGTACCTTGGGTTTTGGGGAGATAAACGACCAAACCGGGTCACAGTGATCTACTTTTGAAATTTTATGGCTTTATTTAAGTATCTCATTAGGTACTTATTGGCCAAGAATTGTAAAACTTTGTCAGTATAGTGGAATCATGGCTTTTCGGGGAATGTCAACCAAAAAGTAGGTCATGGTGACCTTGTTTGGGATATGTCAGGTACTTAATTGACTTAGAATTATCAAACTTGAACAATTGATGCATCTTGGGTTTTCAGAGAATCTGTGAATTGTGAAATAGAATTGTAGATTTGGATTTAAAAAATGTAGCTTTAAATTACACAAGTACTCCTGTCCCAATTTCAATAGTTGTCAGCCACTGACATCAAACACAATGACAGCTGAACGAGATTTACATGCATGTTTGGCCTCTTTAGCGTCAGACACAGAGACAACTGCGCTTGAGATTTTCAAGCATATTATGCTTCCTTTTCTCCTGACCTACCGACCTGCCTAATTTCATTCTAGTAGAAGTAAACTCCGCTGACTTTCAAAGAGTCATCTTAACACAGAGAAAAGAAGTAGAAATGGAAATATTTAAGTATCTCGGGTACTTGTTGGCCTAGATTTGTTGAACTTAATCTTTGTCAAGTTACCACATTTCTCTATCCTTATGTATACAGTTGCCAAACTGATTGATTGAATATTGATTATTAATTATCTTTTTAAAACAGGATCAAGCTGAAATACTGTAAGCCATGTTTGCGCTTGTGCTTTTTGACTTGGATGGCTGCACAGCTATAGTTGATGCCAAGAAATGTCAAGTCCCTGACATTAAAGCCTTGTTGAAAGGACAGCATGTTGATGTCAAATATCATAAGGAGACACTCAAAGTTGAAATCTTGGAGTTATCTGGTAAGATTTCATTTATCATGATTATATGAAAACAATGCTCTATTATAACCCCACTTCAAAGGAGAGGGGAATATCCTGTTTTTGATAAATTCCATTTGAAAATGACAAATGTTATTTGAAAAATGGAATACATTGTACATTGAGTGATTGAAATATGGAATTTTAATTAATGAATCATGATAAATATTTTCACATCCAGCTAGTCGTCAATACGTGCAACTCTGTTCACCTGTGACAAAATTTGTGCGTCGTATTTCAAACACTGGTTATGGACTCATGAAAATTCCAAGTGATTTACAAACATATCTTGTAAAAATCTTTAATATACAAACCCGCTGATGTAATAGTATTGTTGGTACCAAGCTTGTTAAGAAAATTCAATGAAGAAAACACAGATCTTATAATACACTTTAGAGCAATCTATTATAATATTTCTTTTTTGTCAAAAATGAAAGAAATTCCACTATTCCTGTGTATTATTATCAAGGCATTGATGAATGAGAATTTGATAACAGAAAATTGCATGGTCATAAACAAAACAATACTAATTAAACTAATTTTAATGTAAAATTTCTGTTAGTGTAAGAGCATCTTTGTTCAATCAAATGCTATTCATGATCAATTACACTGACCAAATCAGGATACTGGTACATAGGGTACTATAATTTTTGATATTCAATTAATTTTTATTCAAATCTTGACCGGCAGGTGGATGTTAGGGCCACAAATAGTTTTTAAACCGGTATCATATTCAACTTGAATTGCAATTTTGCTATAAAAATATATACACATGTGTATATATATATATATATATGTAAGCATGAAGTGCAGTAAGTCTTTTAATTAAAATTTAATGAAAAAACTGTACAAAGTAGAAATTAAATAAAATAGAAAATTCATAATTTTCTTTATTTTCAGAGTCCAGAGCTGTTCTGAACCAGTATGAGGATGATTGGTCCTTGAGCCATAGGTCGTTGGCCCTTGATAAAGAGAAGAAAAAGAGAAGAAACAAAAGAAATGGATACCTAGCTGTGTGGCCACATGATCAGGTAAATAATACATGTAGATTTATAACCACTAATTGTATGGACTGCTGAATAGCATGTAGTGAGTCTAGGCTGTTGGTAGGATGGGGAATGGCAGGGGAAAAAAATTCTATACTTATACATGGAAGTGTAACAACAATATGTTTTTATGAAACACTGATGCCCAGTATGGCAGCTCAAGCCAAAAGTTTTAATGTCTAAAATGCAAGTCCAAGGTCAAGGTCAAATTATTATACTCCGACTTGAAAATTGGGGTGGGTGGGTTGATTACATAGTATCTGTCTAGCCCTCCCTCTATTACACTATGGAGTACCCATCTATCCTAAAGTCCTCATATACCACTGAAATTTAATAAAACTTTCACAGAATCTCACTTTGATAGTAATACATGCACATTGTTTCATTGTTTGACTCAATGTTACTTTTAATAGAAAACTAATTTCCGGTCACCTGCAGCAAAACTCGTTTAGTACAAACACGGATATAGCGAATTTACAGATATAACGAAGTCATCTTGGATCCCCAGCTATATAAATTTAATGACTTTCTTATCAGGTTATAACGAATTACGAATATAGCGAAGTAATTTTATAGGTCCCCGTGACTTCGTTATAACCGAGTTTTACTGTATAGACTTTGCTTTTTTTACCCAATGGGAAGTGGAAGGTTCATTTTGTAAGCTCAGTGCACACAGTACCTCTAATTGCTACTTACTGCAAGGAATATAATCTTTAATATGAAAGCCCTAGCCACAATCATCAACAACTTATGGCTACCTTTAAATTTAAGTTTTTTCAAAGAAGATGAAAAGCAAAGGTCAAAATGTCAAAAAATAATTGTACCTGAGAAAAGGTATCATCATAAGGTATACGCCTTTAAAATATCAAAGCAATACAAGTAACTATTAAAAAAACAGTATGGCCAAATTATTTTACAATACGTGTACGGCTCTTCTAAACAACAAAAGGTATCTATAGACGGAGCCTTTCTAGATATTTAAACTACAGTTACTATCTGATATGCAAGCATTTTTAATCACCACAACTTAATTTTGTAGGAGGACTTGATTCCCTCAACACCTGAGACCAACCAGAACATGGAGGAAGAGCCTGAAGAAACAGTAAGTAAATTTTATCATTATTGGCAAAAATTCCAAATTGTAAGGCATTTTTAGCAAAATTCTATTGCTCATCAGTTTGCCTTTAAAGCTGAACACTACTCATAAATAGGCACTGTCAGACAAGTATATAAACTGTTCGCTTTCGTTACACCCGATTGCATACTCAAAACTCATGTTCGACATGTAGTACTCTTTTTGTGGTCTTAGATTTTTTTGCATTTATTTCTTGATTTTAAGTGCATTTTTTTCTTGTAAATAAGGTATTGACCTGTATTTTTGAGGATACTTTTTTTGTGTTTTGGAATTAATGCGCAAATTTGATTATTTCATCGAGATTGAGTTGCACGCTTTGTAAGATGTACGTCTACACTAGTCGGATCCCTACAGTCAATACATTGAACTGATTAGCAATCTGCTCCTTGAATACGAGTTGTATGGAGAGCATTGAAGTACGGGAAATATGGCGGACAATGCCTATTTTAGAATAGTGTTCAGCTTTAATTTGCAATAAGTATAACCAGTAATGTAAAATTGTGAATGAAACTTCAAGAGTTATCTCCTCGCTGTATATATCAACCTGATTTAGACTTAGAGGTTAGAAAACTTGATTGATAGTTTCAATACACAGTATAATAACGATAAGAGATAAAAACAACCATACATTATATCACAGAAATCTTAAACATGACTTTTCATCTTTATTTATTGTTGGATGTTCTGCTTATCAAAATGATCAAAATAATACCTTAGTTAATTCTTTATTTTGATGATTGTAGAGTGAAGAAATCAATCTGCCCAAGGAACCAGAAAGAAATAATCCCAAAGAACGAAAGGTAAGGTATAATCAAAGTAATTTAGAAAGTGCAGATTTCATTTTGACTTCATAACTAAAATTATCAGTTTTTATTTATAAAAAGAATAATAATACCCTTTTCCATATCACTTCCTGTATCAGCACGAGACACCAATATCAGTCAGAGGCCCGAAGGCCCGAGGGCTAATATTGGTTGAGGGCCGATACAGGATGTGATGTGTAAAACGGTGTGTATTATTATGTTTATTACATACTTAGTAATAGAATACAGAACCTATAGAGTTAAGAAGAAAATGAGTAAATAATCATGCACAGACTTCTTACAATTTACACAGTCTGTTGTCTCATACGGTTTGGGTTTGTTTCTACATGTACTTCTGTCTGTCTGTCTAGCTGTCTGTAAACTTTCTGTAAAAATTCTACTTCTTCTCAAGAACCACTGGGCCAATTTTAAGCAAACTTGGTATTAAGCATCCTAAAGTAAAAGAGAGTTGACATTTCTTAAATGAAAGGCCAAGTTCTTTCCTTCCCAAGGGGAGATAATTATTAAAAGAAAAAATAAGGTGGGGTCATTAAAAAAATCTTCTCAAGAACCACTGGGCCAGAAAGCAGAAACCTATGTGGAAGCATGCTGGGGTAATGTAGATTTTAAATTGTTAAAATCATGACCCTGAGGTTAGGGCGGGGCCACGATAAGGAATCAAAGTTTTACATAGAAATATATAGGAAAAATCTTCCTCTCAAGAACCACTGTGCCAGGAAAGCTAAAACTTATGCGAAAGCATCCTGGGGTAGATTAAATTTGAATTGTCCAAATAAAAAATGAAATCATAATAAATTTAATTGCTCATATTTATATGGAAGCATCCCAAACTAGTGTAGATTCAAGTTTGTTATAATGATGACCCCCTGGCCAACCAAAGTTTTATAAAGAAATATATAGGAAATTCTTTAAAAATCTTTTTCTCAAGAACAGCAAAGCCAAAAATGCTCAATTTATGGCCAGGTAGTGTACAAAGTTTTTTATATAGAAATATATAGGAAAATTCTTTAAAAATCTTCTTCTCAAGAACAGCAAAGCCAAAATTGCTCAATTTATTTGGAAACATCCCCAGGTAGTGTGCATTCAAGTTTGTTCAAATCATGACCCCCGGGGGTAGGGTGGGGTCATACATTTAGATTTAAACTTTTCAATAGTTACTCTAAACCAATTTCTACTTTTTCCTAGCCACAATTCTCGGTTAAGCAATGTGGCCCGTGGGCCTCTTGTAATATCAACTGTGGAAATAGAATTTTAAAAGTTAGCATTGAAATTGAAATTTTTTGAGAAAAAATAAATTCTCACCTATACCAACAGACCCAATATTTTCAACCGAGTTTAGAGAAGGCAACAAAACAATTTTCTTAAAGTAGCCTGATCATAATTTTACATACTAGGAATGTTCAGAAAAAATGTGATTGAACACAAGGGTCAATTGAAAGTAAACAATGTAAGCATTATGGCCCATGGGCCTCTTGTTGATTACTTTGTGATAAAATTAACTATGAATAAAATTTGTTTTAGGGGTCCAATGGGAGGAAGATTACCATTCTGTATGAAGGATCTGCTGAGAATCAGCCAGCCAATGCCAGTCCACAGCGTGCTCCATGCTATCTACAGGAATTAAGTACAGATGAGGCTGAAGTCGTCGAACTCCAAATGAACTATTTCAAACAGAACAAAATCTGCACCTCATCTCAGACTGAAAAAGTGGTAGTGATCCAAGATGAGCAAGAAATTGTAGACCTTCTCTCCAGCAACAAAAAGTGTCATCACAAAGCCACCCAAATGGATGATACTGACTCTAGAGACATTAACCAAGTCCGAGAAATGTCAACCCAGACTGATGGTAGAATGCAAACAGAAGCCCAGGATTTGACTGAGGTGAATCGAAAGCTTGATGAGATCCTGAGCCTTTTACATGGAGCAATAGACAATTCCATGAGGGTCAACAACGTCAGTGATATCGTGCGCTGGGTGACAGCCAACACCTCGACACCACAACCAGGCGTGTCATCAGTAACTATTGTTCCAGTTGAGGAGGCTTCAATTCTGGAGTTACCAATAAGGGAAGAAAACAGAACATCACCAGTGATTGCCACTGAAGCAGCAATGAGGGAAGACGAGTATGAACACAGTGATTCTCCTCCTCCAGCGAAAAAGGCCTTATTTGAAGTGGAAGATGAAGATGTCGAGACGGAAGAGGAGCAACCTTTAATAACCGAAGTACAACCCAGTGCTCTCGAGAGCGAAGTTCGTGCTCCACTGACGGACGTCATCCACAGAATCGGCAACAGAAAGATGGTTGGTGAAGACAAGATCCTTACCCTGGAAAACAAGCCCTTGGAACCAATCATTGAAATCAAAGATGTTAGTGATGTCGTACCAGGGGAATTCCAGTTTAGGATGAGACGGGATGTCCTTGCCGATGTCAAAACTGGTGCTTGTTCAGATGGAAATTTTCTGTGGCTTTTGACCAGGAAGCTGTTTCATGACCATGAGTTGCGAGGGAAGAATTTCTTTGGACGCAAAGGACGACCTGCGATATCACCTCGGCGCAGCAAATGCCTAAAGCACGCTTACATTGAATGCTGTGGAACAAGCTACAAGGAATTTACCAAAGCTGTGAGCAGCATCAACAATGGCATTCGTTCACTTAGTCGTTAACTTCACAAGTAAAACTTCGGAGTGTGTGAAATTTTGAGGACTTCAATATTATAGTCCCATGTGCAATCAAGGGGCTTGTTTTATTGTGTATATTGAAGAACGAGTAGAACTAAAAATAAAACTGGACTACATACTTTTTCACATGTTGGTGAATTGATATTGTATTCATATCAAGACATATCTTATTTATTATTTGATGAAAAAGACTGGACTCATGCTTTATCATATGTTGGTGAATTGATTTTGTATTCATATCAAGCCATATTTCATTTATTATTTGATGAAAAAGACTGGACTCATGCTTTATCACGTTGTTGAATTGATATTGTATTCATACATGTATTAAGCCATATTTATTATTTGATGAATAAATTTTCAACTTTTCAGTCATGCATTTCTTTCTACTTGCACATGTTCCTACCCATAAATTCATATTAGGGGCTCATTTCATATCGGTTTCCTTGACTGAAGCTGCTGGAATTTGTCAACTTGCTTTGTTTATAATTAATTTCTGAGTCTTACATCATATGATAGCATAAGGATATTATATTCGAACTAAATAAAAAAGATCATTAAAATAATTGAAGCAGGTAATAAATGATATATTCCTGTTGCTATAGTCCTTTACCACAAGTAACTTTTGGTCCCCCCGCTTTGAGAGAGAATATCTTGTGGTCACCTGTTCATGAAAATCCTCTGAAATTTTAACCTAAGGCCAACACTAAAAAATATATGTTTGATGTACTCTGATCTTCCTGTCAAAATCTTGCAGAGAAAAGGAGATTATTTCAATTTAAAGGTTTTTAAAATTCCTTAAGACACTTTTATGACATATGTGGGTCAGAGTTCATCAAATAAAAAATTCTTGAATGATGGTCTCAAGGTGTTTCCGGTTCAGACTGACAGTTTGTCCCAATTAAATTATTGTTACATCTGCTACATGTATTGAAACAGACATTTATGTTTTCCCAGAGTCATGCAACCATGAAGGATTATTTCAGCATATTCAATCCTGAGAATAACATTCAAAACACCTAGGGAACACATATGAATATGTGCTAGTTTCTTTTGTAGAAAATAAACAACTAATAAGAATTTTTCACATTTATATATAAACATGATAAATACTGTATCTATCTGACAATGTAAATTGTATTAAAACATTCATATTTCAAACACTAAACAATTGCAACATTTTATTAACCACTCAAGATTCACTCTTCTTAAGTAAGCAAAAAAAAAAAAAGAGTTTTAAAAAATAAAGATTACTAAAAAATACAGAAATTGAAAGTACTAGTGTTAATGTTTTCTTTATTTTTGATAAAGGAAAGTAATCAAACCAAACATGAATGGAGAATTAAAAAAATTGAAATGACTGATTCTTACAAGAGATCTGACTTTTGTAAACTAATCTACATGTACGGTTCATGTGACAAATTTGAAATACAATCAAGATCTAAAAATGAAAATGTACATGTAATATATTGTATTACCAAACTTTTTACAAAGTATAATGCAAGGAATTCAGTCACAATAAGTCCATGACGAAGTCAAAAAATTGAGGCTTTGCCATCATTGAGGATAAGCAGTGGTGCAGTATGACTATGATTGTCACAGAGTTCTATGTAACAGGACGCTGTCTTGTGTAGAGTAACTCAAAGAAACTTTGAATCCTTTAGATTCTAACAAAGGAAATGAAATGTATCACTTTTAACAAAGTATGACACAAAGAATTCAGTCACAATTAGTCAATGACAAAGTCAGAAACCGGAAGCTTCACCATCATTGAGGACGACAAATGGTATGACTTTGTGGATGTGGTCTATGTAACGGGCACACTGTCTCGTGGAGAGGGACTCCCAGAAACTGCGAATCCCTTGAACTAGTTGATCCTTTGTCCTTGGCTTCGTTACTGTCTGAAGGTGATACTTCATAGACGCCCACACGTTCTCTATGGGGTTCAAGTCTGGGGAAGAGGCTGGAGTCTTCATTACTTTATCAAGCATTCCTTTTTCTGCCATCCATTCCTTAGTCGACTTTGACGTATGTTTGCTGTCATTATCCTATGATAACAAAGATATTCAAATTTAATAGCAAATCATAGCATAATGGACATCTACTAAATCTATATAAGACACTGTTAGTTTTCTTTATATGAAACACCCAATTCATGCTTTTACAATAATAAAACCTTACTACTATCAAAAAAATCTCAATTAAAAAAAACATGATTTTTCAAGTTGCATTGTTTAAGTAACATTCTTGAAATGATAATTAACTCTCACCTGGTATAATCGATACCCCTCAGGGAATTTGTCTTCTACGAAAGGAAGGAAATTCTGTTGCAGTATCCCCTGGTATATCAAGGAATCCATGACTCCGTTGAAAATACAGATGCTTGTTCGTCCATGGTAGGAAATGCCTGCCCACACATGTACCTACAATTAATGTCATTATATTATATATATGAACATGACAATTTTTTTTTAAAGCAATTTCTTTAAAAAAGCATTGACTAGTTTACAATGTATTGTAAATTATAATAGGAAATGAGCATTTTTACTGCAGCTTTGACACATTATGAACAACTGATTAAAAAAATTACAGATTATGTGTACTTTCTGTTTTGAAAAAGAGATATTTAATATACAGTAAAATTTGTCTAATCCGGACTCTGAGTACTCCGGACTTTTGCCCATTCCGTCCGTAAATTTTAGTCCCATGCACTTCCTTAACAAATTCATTTAAAAAAATTCTGTGTAGTCCGGATACTGTCTATTCTGTATTCCGAACGGCCATACTGGTCCCAACTGCTCATAATTAACGTTAATTATTCCCTCTAATCCGGCCACACCTGAGTCACTTCAAAGAAATTAACACCTTTCGTTGGGAATGTGATAATCCGTGTTTACATTAGCATGATTATTAGTGCCATGAGACGAACTCGGTGAAATGGGGCGGTGACACAGTCCACTTGAAAAATATATTATATTAAATTACAATTAAAAAAAAGTAACTTTGTTTTAACTCTTTTTACCACATTATAACATAAACACAAAAATATATGTATGCGATTTACAAATCAAAATATAAATCGGGATCGAAAATCGAACGCATTTCAAAATGGCGCCATAACACTGTGGGGGAGGACGTAATTTTTTACATAAAATTAAAATTTCAATCTAATAATTAGCACATCGTAAATAATTGTGCATTACTGTTAATACATTGAATGAGGTCTTTGACAAGCGAAACCCAGTCCGTTTGATACCTAGTAGGCTATATTATGCGTGCCTGTATATTTTGATTGAGGTAACATTTCACCCAACTTTCAAACTTCTTGAACAAATAAGAAAATACAGTAAATCATGTGAGACTATTTTATAATTTCTAAACTCCAGAATAGTAATTGATTTCATCATTTAATTTTATTTATAATATGTATATGATGTACTTGGAAATAAACAACGAAAATTTTCGGAATTTATATTTTCCTGCATTTTTCCTGCACTCCGGATTCTGTCTAATCCGGCCAAATTTTATGGAACCGGCGGTAGCCGGATTGGACAAATTATACTGTACCAGGTATTCATTATCTGAAATATATTATTCATCAGATTAACAAACCTTATAAGCATGTTTGGGTTTGGGTTTTCTGGAACATTTCTTTTGGATCTTTGAGCCCTCCTGGTGAAAGAAAAGCCTCCCATTTGCAGACATTTCAACAGTACTCTCGTCAACAAATATAACATCTTTAAAGTTGTCGTTGCGATTAAGCGCATCTAAACACCACTGAAGCCTTATCTAAAAGAAAGATGTATCAATAAAAAGAACATGAATATCATGGCAAGTACAGAGTGTGTTTAATCTCTTACAGTCACAGTAAATTTCATTTTGATTTACACTGTACAGGGTATTCTCGAGCAAGACCAGAACATTAATTAATATTATCTGATCCAAAATTTATTAGATGAAAAAGAAACAAATGTATGTGGATCATAATGTTCTAATCAACTTTCACCTTTTTATATTATTACAAAAATATGTGCATTTATTATAACAACACATGATGTTTTTAAAGATCTATATTTACAATTATTTAGTAGACACCAATTTTATGCTAAATATGCTTGATTAAATTTTCATTGCGTTGCCAAAATCATATTATAAATAATAACAGAAAAAAGTTTATAAATATAAAACCTACCATCTTGTTCTTGTTGCTGATCAGCTGGCACGTCTTAGACACTACTGTCTTCCATCCCAGCTCCTGTCGTCTTTTTCTGATAAGGCTGCACGACACTTTCACCCCAAATACCTCAAACAGTTTTCTTTTCAGGTTTTGTGTTGTGATTTCATTGTTTTTGGAGATCTAACTGTCCATTAACTTTATATGTAGAGGTTTCAACTTCACCGAATGCGCACCCACAGTCCTGGTTTTCCTAACAAAACCTCGGCCACATTTCCAGCGTTCTAGGAAGGCATATATCCCCTGACGGCTGATCATGCAATTGTGGTGTACACGTAGTCTTTCTCTAATGGTCTGGATGGGCAGATTAGTTGCACGGTATCGGATGATCGCTAATTTCACTGCAGTTGATATTCTCCCTTCTTTCGTCTTTAGTCACACTCTTTTTTTAACAAAACGAAAAGAAAACCTGATAAACGGAGAAAACGATACACGGAAAACCTGATAAACGCAAAACACGATAAACGCAAAACCTGATAAACGCAAAACACGATAAACGCAAAACCTGATAAACGCAAAACCTGATAAACGCAGAACACGATAGGATTACTGATAAACGCAAAACACGATAGAATAAACGGAAAACCTGATAGGATACACGCACGATACGATAGGATACACGCACGATACGATAGGATACACGCACGATAGGACACGATAGGACACGATAGAATTGTCAAGAATAACGTTGCGGGTACTGTACCAGGTGTGCTTTGCACGTATTGCATGTGTATAAATAATATTATCTTTTTTTACTGGCCAACGGGGCGACCTTCATGCAGAAAACCACTAGCCCGACCCCCGGGTATCGGTCGATTTTCATTGCAGACCTCTGATTAAAAAAAGAACTATCAGTGCATTCATTATAATTTTTTTCACAAAAGCCCGTTTTCAATAGATATGTGTTTATGTGGACTACAGATGTCCTTTCCTTGACTTTAAATAAATTCTACAACTGCATAATGTACGTATGAAGCATGTCAAACAATTTACAAAGCTTTTTTTCAATGTGGTGCAACAAAATAGTAAGACTTACTGCATTTGCTTTTTGTGTTTCCGAATTTCCTCACTGCTAATACAAAGTGTCCAAACACAGCTACTTCCGTAATCTGCGCATGCGCAGTTAGTTTTAAATATATGCGCATGCTCAGGTATTCGGAACTCCTCGATTCAATTACCGAACTCCTCTAAACAGCAGATTTCTGAATGTCTGAGCGTTTTGGGCTAAGGACGTGTCCAAAATTTGGACAAAGTCTTTGTGAGGTTAAATCTAATTTTAGGTTTTTCGACCTCATAGAGTAATTTTGAACGTAATTAGACCTCTTCATTATGGGGTTAACCCCACAGTACCCAAAAAACCCCACACTGCTGGAAAATACGTTAATTTTACCCCACAATGTACCTCTCGTAAGAACAGCTAGACGGACGGACGGACGACGGACAAAATGTGATCAGAAAAGCTCACTTGAGCCTTCGGCTCAGGTGAGCTAAAAATACAACAGACTTATAGGCGAGTATATACGGTAGATGCTCTAACCATTTGCACCATGCAGAGGACTTGTTAATGAGTTTTATTAATGAGTAAAAATGAGGCCTAGCTCACCTCGCCATTGTTCCACCTTATCTCCCCCTCTCCATGTCTCATGTCATTCACAAAGTCTCCCTCATACTGCCCCCCATCCTGCCAGACTTGTAATCCTGTGTAGAAAATATACACCCCTAAATATTACAATAAATCATACATATATATATATATATATATATATATATATCATACATATACCCTAACTATAGCATTTGTATACTGAGAAAGGACTGTTTAAACATTAGTTGTAGTTCCACTGCCTGTGTACCTCAGTGTCAAACTGGACAGGCCTGCATGACGCAAATGCCCCTGCAAACAGGCAAGTTTTATATGCCATTATTGCCATTGTCTAATATCAGATAACTTGTCCCAAAGAAGAATTCAAGGGACACAAATTACTGGTTATACATAGCTTTTCACATCACAAACAGCTTAATTAATTTTTTTTTTTTGAAAATACACAATCTTCTGAAAAATGTTTTGATTATTTAATTAGCCTAAATGTTTATATAAAATTCATGATCAAACTCATTTCCTGCAACATATATACACCAAGATCATAAAAAGAGCCAGGGTGACTCAGAGTCTTTTTGATCCTGTAAATTTCTGAAAAATCACTGAAAAGTCTGAAAAGTTCTCAATTACAACTGTTTATTGCAAAATTCGATCAAGAATATTTCAACATAATTCATACAACCTCTTTACCAGTACCTGCACTCTTTAGAGGAAACATGTACACAAACTGAAAGCATAAGTCTCTACTTTATATGTTGCATTGGCGGATCCAGAGGGGGGGTTCCGGGGGTTGGAACCCCCCTTTATTTTTTGCCAAGTGGTGAGAGAGTGAGAGGATAAACGTTTGCCGAGAATAAATATTTGTACGTCTTACTTATGTATTGAATAGATAGATTCTCACACATTAAGTTTCCTCTACTATTCCTTCACTATTACTTTTTTATGAGAGAATGATAGAAAATAGTTTACCTATTTTTATATATCTCATATACGATAAGTAACATGTGAGATTTAATTTGATATTTCCGCTATCTTTGGCCGTGTTGGCTATATATGTACCGTTTTTTAATCATATCTTTTGAAGGAACTAACCTGTAATGCTTTGTTTTAAACCCCACCCGCACCCCACCCCTAAAAAATTTCTCAAATTCTAAACGAGAATTCTTTATACTCTTCAGAAATGCTGCAAATCCATTCAATTCAATTTCAAGGCTTCAGTACTGTAGTTTTTGAAACGTGTTTGTTTTTTTTTATTCGGACTGGGGAGGTACTTTTTCAAAGAAAAAAGGGACATAAACAAACTTATTATTTACCACAACCTTAGATCTTTTCATACATGTATATGTGAATCTTTGCTTGAGCGTGTGTATGAGTGGGGGGGGTTAGAGGGACACAAGCCTGGAACCCCCCCTTTCAAAAATAGCTGGATCCGCCCCTGCGTTGATGTTAAAAATGGGACATATGGTGTAATACAGTCAACAAACTAGATGGTATATCTACAGGGCAATTTTATGCAAACCTTTTCCATTCCGCGCATTGTCCGAGTAATGGCCTTCATATCTGGATCCGTTTGGCCATTTGAAAACACCTCGACCACAACGTAAGTGGTTGCTGATCGTTCCTTTGTAACTTGCACCACTCTTGTACTGGATCTCCACTGGTTCTGGGAACTTCTCAAACTCTGCAATGCTCAACTTTGGCAAGTGTTCTGATAAAGTGGACATGGTGTATTATTCTGCCACAACCTCTGTACAACACTGAAAGAGAAAAGAAACTGAATAAATACTTCAACTTGATATATCTTGTACCACAGGCACCTGAATTTTTATCAATAAGTCGCTAAATAAGCCAAATATCCAAAAATTCCACCCCCTCTATATATAAATTTATATATAGAGGGGGTAGAATTTTTGGATATTTGGCTTATTTAGCGACTTATTGATAAAAATTCAGGTGCCTGTGCTTGTACATGCAAACATTAGCTTAAATTGATCGGTCTTTTTTTTCAAATTCAAAAGTATGTTCGCTAATATTTACATCAAGTAATTTAAAATATTCATTCAAACAATAATAATAGTTATGGAACATTCTTACCGTGGATGGCTGATAAATATTAGCAACTTGCTTTCTGTTTAAATTAATCATGGATTGCTCTCAGCATGTAAACATTGGCAGCCATATTGAATATCGCACCGACTTTCCGCCAAGTATGTGTACACGTTGCTAAGTGACAAAGACTGTGAATACTAGACAAGTCGCACGTTTTTTTTTTAGAAATTGTAAGTGCTTAAATAAAAGTATTTGACTCGATCATTGAAAACTTTTTTACTTAAATTCCCCTCCCTTAATTTCTCTCTCTGAATTAGTTCGAAATTACCCGAATATACCCTAAGTAAGTGGACAAGATACAACCAACTGAAAATAAAGGAAAGAAGGAGAATAAAAATAAAAAAAGGAACAACAAGAAGAAGAAGGAAATGGTTTTTGAAGAATATTTTGCAAAACTCCATTTTTCATTTTAAAAGAAAAATGAACTCTAAAATTATAATAGATGCGAAATTTGCGTGAAAATAAACTTTCAAAACAGTATGAGGTTTGGTAGCTGCAGATCTGTAGCTCTCCGAAAAAAAAAAATTGATACACCGGAGAGCTACAGTGCCACCCATTGAAAAATCTGTATATTTATTGCGCACAAAAAAGTGAGCTCGGTTCTCGGTTTATTTCTCCATGTTTTTAAACTGTAATCTTAAAATATTACTAATTTAACCGTGTGTTCCTAACATATTCTTTGACTCTTTCCACAACAAAACATTCCTCATAATTGTTGTTAATAGTCCTCCTGGCCCTGATATAGTAATCATCGAACATTTCGCTTATTTATACTGCCAATTTGGATTCAAAGATAATTCGGTCCAATATGCTTCGTTCAGATATCAGCTACGAAAGTACTTGATAGAAGAGAGGATTTTTTTAAATCTTCCATTTTGTGCAATTTATGTAAGAATTTGGAAGAATTAATCATCAACCGAGCGCACTTTTTTGTGTGCAATAAATATACAGTTTTTTCAATGGGTGGCACTGTAGCTCTCCGGTCTATCAATTTTTTTTTTCGGAGAGCTACAGATCTGCAGCTAGAGGTTTGGTATTTACTGCCAAAATTGATATCACCTATTCAGTTGGTGATATCACGTATTCGAATAAGTGATATCACCTATTCAGTTTTTGAATTGGTGATATCACCTATTCAAAAAACTGATATCATTTATTCGAATAGGTGATATTATTCTTTTTGAATAGGTGATATTACTTATTCTAATACGTGATATCACCTATTCAAATTATTTATGAAATAACAATTAACGGCTCCCAAGGCTATAGGTCTTTAAAGGATGACTGCACTTAAGCATCTGCGAAATTTGCGTGAAAGTAAACTGTCAAAACAGACATTTTTCTTTTAATTGCAGGAATGACCACATCTAAGCTACAACTCTACTAGCTGCAGAACTGTAGCTCTCCGAAAAAATATTTTGATAGACCGGTCTGTCAAAATTGTTTCTTCGGAGAGCTAAAGTTATGCAGCTACAACTTTACATAATTACAATAGATAAAAGTGTGTATTTACGATGTACGAATCTGTTTTTTAAGGCGGGGGTCATCACAAGTTCTTCAATCTCCGTATGATAATGAGGACGACCACTTTTTTACAGACTTTATACATAGTCAGCGCATGTTGGTCTATTGCTCTCCTTTTAGGCCTAACAGTAGTTGTATATTTGCATTAGTAATGCCGAGTACAGTTATGCAGCTATCAAACACAAAGACAGCCGCACGAGATTTACATGCATATAAGGCCTCCTTAGCTCCTGGCCTTTATAAATTTACTCATCTAGAGAAATGTTACATTTCGTTAGAAAAACTTTGTCAAATTTAATTTTTGAGTCCGATTTTTAATAATCAGGGGAGACCACTTCAGTCCAAAAAAAAAAAATCCAATCCCGGAAATTTCTTGAAAAGCAAGAAAAAAAAAAAAACTTAACTCGCCCAAACGTCAAAAACCTATTTTTTTTTTGGGGGGGGGGGGGGTTTAGCTTATTCGCGTTTACCAGGAGGGGGGGGGGGGGGGCAGCGCTTTCCAAGGGGGTCCATGGTAACTTTTTTTCTGGCTTTAGTATATACATTTCTTAACCTTGTAAATTCCAGGGGGGTCCTGACCCCCGACCCCCCCCCCCCCCCCCGCTCATGTTGTTTTTAAAACGGCGATGGAGCACCGCATTTACATACCCGGTACACAGTATTGGATTTTTTTTGGGGGGGGGGTGGTCATTTTTTATTGTCTTTAGGTCTTTAGGTCTCCTCTCGATTTTTGTAATATGTATGTTAGTTTATTTGAATTAAAATGCTCACAAATAATGTTTCGAAACCATAGAGTTGCGACCCAGAGATAGCAAATTTTTAGAAAAAAAGGTTTAAACAGTTCTAGGTTTTATTAAGGCATACAATGAATGATGAAGGGATTTTGAACAATTTGGAATTATTTCAAACTAGTTCAAAATGCATAGCATATGACTTCTATTTCCTCAAATCTTTCACTTTTCATACCACATTTCACACCTATTCGTGTTTACCAGGAGGGGGGGGGCAGCGTTTTCCAAGGGGGGTCCATGGTAACTTTTTTTCTGGCTTTAGTATATACATTTTTTAACCTTGTAAATTCCAGGGGGGGGTCCTGACCCCTCGACCCCCCCCGCTCATGTTGTTTTTAAAACGACGATGGAGCACCGCATTTACATGTACATACCCGGTACACAGTATTGGATTTTTTTTTTTTGGGGTGGTGGTATTTTTTATTATCTTTAGGTCTCCTCTCGATTTTTGTAATATGTATGTTAGTTTATTTGATTTAAAATGCTCACAAATAATGTTTCGAAACCATAGAGTTGCGACCCAGAGATAGCAAATTTTTAGAAAAAAAAAGGTTTAAACAGTTCTAGGTTATTCAATGAATAATGAAGGGATTTTGAACAATTTGGAATTATTTCAAACTAGTTAAAAATAATGATAATGATAGATAGTGAAATGAACCAAATTCACATGACTGATAACGTTTAAGGAGACGGTCATTTTGCACGTTAAAAGTTTTTGAAGAGTTACCTGCCCTGATGAAAAGAAGACAATTTTTAATTTCTCAAAATTTCTGCAGTGAATAATTTATTTTATTTTATATTTTAATAAAGAAAGAGTTTATGCATATTTTCGGCAAGAGATTTGTTTGAAATTCAAATTAATTTTTGAAATATCTTTAAAAAATATGCACTGACCATAGACTTCAATGTAAAAATCAAGGTGCAATTCATTGGACAATAATCAAAATTTTGTAAATTCCTTTGTTGGGGCATTTTTATCTGATAACATCTTCAAAATGCTACCATGATTTAAAATATCGGACCATTCATTTAAAAGGTACAAAATATGGTCGTTATACACTGAATTCCTTAAATGAGAAATGTGAAGATACATACAGTTATCACTCTCATTAAACCCAGCTAAGCATTTCAGACTGGGAGCAGAGCAAACACTGACCCTGTTAACAACAAAGGAGGGATCAGGTACCATGGAGGAGTAAGTTTTCCCTGTCGACTGCATGGTCACACTTGGGCTTTTTCCTTGAACTTGTCAAGTAAATGAAGTAATTCGCAGAGGATTCTATATAAAAAGAATGATCCTCAAATAATAATAATAATAATAATAAAAAAAAAAAAACACCAAAATGCAGGCTGGTGTCTTATTCTCCATAACTGGATCCATACATTCTTGTGAAAACAAACCAAATATTCAACAGTATAGTTAGCAACAAGAAAGTGTCACCATACTTGCTTAAGCAGGGAGAAAGACATTTCACATTTGGGTATAATCGATTAGGATGCCATATATATATAATGGGTTAATAAGCAGAGAAGATACTTCTGCTTCCTAGTTTATCCTGAAATCACTGGTGAGTAGTTTATATCTATGATAAATTCGGGTAATTAATTTTATATAACGAGGTTTTATGTACTGTTTCAAGCCTTGTTGTGTAGATACATGTATATTGTAGTGTTTCTTAGAATGTCCATTTAACGTAATCAGACAAACATCAGAACATTCTCTAAAGTTGGAACAGCATTATTTTACATTTATAATAAACATTTTTTTCTACATGCAGAAGGAAAACGTTGATACATGTATTTGTAGACTTCATCCTTAATAATTAATAAGCTCAAGCAATTTAATTAGAGCAGTGCGACTCTCTCATGCTTCAAAATTAATCCACTATCGATACAAATATCCATTGATGATATAATTATATCAATAATCAAATACCAAGTCAGCTATTTATGGTTCATCCACAAGCGGTACTTTATGTCATTTATATTAAGCAGTATCATATACCAATGGTGCAATATTTTGTACAATAATGATTATAAAAGACATGTAATTTTAAAAAATGCCATATATGGACCACTAGAAAGCATCCTTTATATACGTGTAGCATAGTGGATTTATCATTAAAGCAATATGAGCTGTAAGTTTGACATGGGAAAAATTTGTTGCAAATTTGTAATCAACTACTTCAACGACGGAAAAATATAACATTTATCAACTTTTGTTGTTCATATTTGCGATGGAAGAACTTTTCATAAGCTCTGATTAAAGCAAAATTACATTATTGTCATCCTGTACAATATTGTTTTCTTATATAATGCTATATATACCGGTATATGTAGAGAAATTTTTCTTCTGAAACAATTTGAAATTTTATTTGGGTTAAATTGATCATAAAGGTTTAAATTACGTGTATACATGTATACAAATTAATCATAATAACACATTTTAACAACAAAATGAATTTCTAAAAAATGCAGGTCATATTGCTGTAACAGTGTGGTCAGGACAATGCTCCGTATCATCTGTTAAGGAAATTATTTTTACAATAAAATAAACAAAGTAGCCTAATATAAAGTGCATATAGATCCATATTATATGAAAGAAATGTGTATTTTATTAAACCAAATCGGTTTCTGTTTTACTACTTTTTTATATCATTAAAAATATATTAAAACCATTTTTTTAAAATCATAAATACACCTCGACGACTTGGATATTAAGCAGGACGAAAAGGCTTTTAATTCGATAACTGTTTTGTTAGGCATACAGAGGGAAAAATGAATAAGCTTATTTGGTGTGAGGTCTCCTTACTAGCATTGGCTGTATTTTTCGTCATAACAACAAAGGGACTCTGTCGAAAATTAGAAAAGCTGTCAGAACTTCATATCAGTGGATACAAAGCTCATGTGGTTCACACGAATGCTTGCATTGAAGTTCGAAAATCTGTCATCGAGCCGACCGTTTTCGACCCCGAGGTTCCAATGGGAGAGAGGTTCCGAAGAGCGTATACTGACGACTGTTGCTGTGAAATCACCTCAAAAACTCTAGAAATGGTGAGTTTTTTTGTCAGTTGTATTGTTTCTTAGAACTGTAAATATGGCGTGATGTATGTTCAAAATCCTATGATGTATGTGCATTATCTTGTGATGTATGTTCAAAATTTTGTGATGTATATGCAAAATCTTGCAAAATCTTGCAAAATCTTGTTATGTATATTCAAAATCTTGTTATGTATACTTAGCATTCAAAATCTTAGCTTGTAATGTACATATATTCAATAATCTTGTGATGTATGTTCAATATCTTGTAGGTATATGCAAAATCTTTTGATGCGTATTTTATGATCTTTTAATTTGAATTCGATAATCTTGCGATATAAATTCAATAAACTTGTAATGCATGTTCTATAATCTTGTGATGTTTGAGCAATAAATGCATTGTGGGTATTATGACGCAATATTGTTCTTGTAAAGTAAAGACAATTTTCATTGGTTGGAAATAATGAAAGTAGCAGGTGATATGTAGATAAATGAAACTTTGATTTCTTTCGTTTTGATACAAAGAAAAGAGACATATGAATTATGTATAGGTATGTGCAGGTATATTGAAGAAAATATAAATGTAATAAATAAAGTGACTTTCTCAAATCACCTTTGCTTTGGAGACCAACGAAAAAAAGTCTTTATAAAGGTTATCGATATAAGTCGAATATTACCCACGAAGCAAATAATGCACATACTAGTACATCACAAAATTAAAGAATATACATTACAAGATTTGGGATACAAATAACAAGATATTGCACATACATGTACATCACAAGATTATACAATTTACATTACAAGATTCTGAACAAGATATTGCACATACAGCACAAGATTATAGAACATACATTTCAAGCTTTTGGATATAAATAACACGACATAATTATTACACACACATGTACATCACAAGATTATAGAACATACATCACAAGATATTGCACATACATCACAAGATTTTAAACACACATCACAGGATATAGCATAGGCATCACAACCTTTTCCGATAACGTCCCTTTCTCGAACAATGACAAAGCTGTCTTAATATACGTTAGTATTCTAACCTCGATTTCTTAGCCATTTCAAAACTTTGAAGGTTCAATTTTTTTTTTACAGTAATTACTAATTAGACTAATTACATCTGCTCTTTAGATTTACCTGTATTTTATACATTTTAAGACAGAAAATAATGAATACAGCTATAAGAAAATATGATTTATTTCGGATTTTAGAAATAATACAAAGGTCTTACAAGAAAAAGCAACTTAATATCTTGATTTAAGAACATAAAATAAAGAGATTTATTGAAAAAAGCATCCAAATAGGTGGATTTTAGAATGAATATATTAACGGAGAAAAAATATAATTTAATTGTATTAAAAGTCCATTTCTTCTTTCAAATATTAGAAAAAAGTCTGACTTATAATTTAATAAAGCAAATATACCTGTCCTCTATTCCAATAGGTGTTCATTAATCATTGTTTGTATAGTAATTATATGTTTTCATAGTTTATTATTTGTTTACACAAAAATTCCACCTATTCCCACGTAAAATCTTACCTTTTTCTACCTGATTTTCAAAAAGTGGGAATAGGTAGAATGAACCCGGGTCACCATCCCAACTCATAATTGTAATTATAAATTTGAAATTGAATAAATATTTACATTTTGTAATTCAAATTTAGTAAAGGACTAAAAATATGCAAATAATAAATATCAATGACACATCTTTTATTAAAATTTTAGCTTGTCCACGAACTTTACGGACACCGTCGTATGATCAGTTTTCCTTATAGCTCTAATCCTTTTATCCTTTTTTAAATGCAGATAACACTAGAGCGACATGACGGCGGCGCAGATCGGGATGTGCTCTATTTTAGGATCAATGAATGTGGTTGTATACCTTGTTCTGAAATTAGTATTTCCGGATAAATTAATTACATTATTATATAATTATAATCCTGTGATATGTGATAAAACGGACAAATATTTAAAAGGATGACACATAAAGTGATGATAGTTTACAACGAATATGTGCATGGAACTCTGAATAAATGATACTGTTAGTATATAGCAAGAGGAGGAATAGACTGCGAGTGTACTCGTACTCACTGCAAATTTAACACGAAATTTGACGAGGAATTGGATATTTGTACTTACAAGTACTTATATAGGAGTCGTTACATATTAACAAATTTTCGTTCTGTTGCTGACACTATTAACGGTTTAAAAAATAGATTTAGATATTTGTGATTATTATGTAATAACGTTTAAAAGAACTACTGAGACAGGATTTAAAAAAATTACTAGTGCGCTCCACTCGTGAAAAAAAAAAGTCCTATTCCTGAAATGAATTCAATTTCAAAATATTATATATACATGTATTATATATATCATCACAGTTAAATTTGCTTCATCCCCCCCCCCCCCAATCCAGTATATTTTACATTGCCAAGCAAAACACCAATTACATTGTAGATGTTTGTGAGCATTAAAAAGAAGGCTATTGATCGACCAACATTGATAAACAAATAATGTAACAAAATTTTTCAATTTGAAAGGGATGGGTTGAATATTCGAAGAAGAATACATGTATCTACACATTTCTGAAATTTGTAGTCAGATTTAAATATGTTTTCTCTTTAAAGAGAAAATAAAGATTACATATTTAGCAAATAAACTAGTAACTTATTTTTCATCACAGGTATTGTATTCTAGTATTTTGATTTCTCTAGCTTCACTTATGCACCTAGGAATATGAAATGTCAGTATAAAACATTATATAATTAATATTCATGAAATATTTTTCAATTTCAAGAATTTTGTTTTCAAATAAATGTTTTTTTAAACGTTGAAGAAATGTACCGGGGTATAACTTTTATAATAAAGATATTAAGGTCGTCCACCCAACTACCCCCCCCCCCCCCCAATTACCTACGTTAACTAAAACTTGCTATAGTTAATTAAAATCGGTACATTGATGAACTATCATATGATACTTTAATCTATAACTTTTTGAGATTTAGAGACTTAATAACTCTTATTTTTTAAAATACGAGCTTTGATTTTGGACGTAATGTATATGAATATTCGAGCAATATTTTCTTCAAATAGAAGAAAATTGTGTGCATGTTAAAGTTGGAAAAAATTAGTTGTTACATTTTGAAAATTCATATTCAAAATACTTTGATATACTTTAAATTGTAAAAACTTTTACAATAGTACCTGTAACAGTACTATTGTATATGTAAAACTTATAATAAAAAGAAAACAAATACACATGCTTCAAAAACTGAGAAAAGATAATTGTAATTAAGATATCCTTTAATTTCATACAAAATAACACTGGTAAATAAAGCAAATTTACATGTAAAGGAAATTCTCTTTTTCTTTTTAATAATTTTCTACAGAGCACATATTAACTATTTTCAAGACTTGTTTCAAAGATATAAAACTAACTCGAAGTAATGCAAAGAATCACGAAAAGATTCAATTGCAAGCTTATTCAAATAATTGATGATTTCAAGAAATGATGCTTACAGGGGGGGTGTTAAGACATCCTTAAGACAGGTTCAAATATTACAAAAAAAAATATCAACCTAGTATTTTGGTGGGGGTACGACCGTAAAGATGATTGGTTGTATGTTGTAAAACGCCCTTCTCGAGAATTTTTCACTCATATGGAGACGCCCCCACTTGCCGTTGGAGAGCTTCCAATTTTGTCCCTATGCTCAAGGCACTCAGGGCACTCACTCAAGATAACGAACAGTGATCATATTCCTAAGCCTTTGTAACCAATAAAGATTGTGAGCAGAGTCATTCAACACGGACTTCTGAGAACAGATGTTGGATCAGCTGCCTTTGAGAAGTAAACATCTCCTGCTGACCCGTCACTTCTGCCGTGTACCCTTAACTTGTCATGACCGGGTAAACAATATCTGTAGACAATTCAGCTTGAAAATACTAATAATGGCTTGACAGAGCCAGTCGCTGTTCCAACTAACGAAAAATTATTCTTTCAAACAAGACATTTTATCAACCATAGAACTTGCGATTATTGATGATTATAAACGACAGTGATTCTATTCAACTTATTTGCAAATAATCTGCTTTGTTTAAGACCCTCAGTGAGATGATAATGTCATCTGCAGGCAATAAGGAACATTGTTAATGGAACGGCAGAAATGACGATTGAAAAGTTGAATTGCATACTAGGTTGTACATGTAAAGTTAATTTAGGACAAGTAGTATCATCACTGTCTTTCTCTAGTAAAATATCAATATATATATTTAGGAAACAAGGTCTTATAACAATCTATTCGAATTCCCAGGGGTACGAATTGCGTCCCATTATTAGCAGACCTATTTTTGTATTCATATGAAGCAGAATTTGTTCAAAATATTAAAAGTGTAAAGAAGAAAATACTTCCAGTGGTCGGTCGGCAGGGGATGCTCACTCCTCCAAGGCACCTGATCTCACATCTGATGTTTTAGAGGTTTATTTGCTCTTATTCTGACTGGTATTGTTTAATGGATTTCTGAGCTTGTTAACTGTTCGTTATCTCCATACATTTCTTGAATAAAATGTGACAGATTCTTTGTTGTGTTAAAATTAGAGTTCATTGGGATCACAGGGGCATCTTGTCCGCTCTGTTCTCTACCACACAGATAAAATTATATTTTTACATGTGTAGCAGAGAACCGAGTGGATAAGATGACCCTGTGGGGGAATTTATCGAATCAACGTAGTAATAAAAAATCATTTTAAGATCAAAACATAGCATGAAATTAAAATTTGCCAGATACATTTTCAATTTCTTTTTTAAAAAAGGAAATGTTCATAAATCAAGTCCTTGGAATATCTTATTTCCTAATCAGTTTTTTGCTCCATTGGGATTCTGGAAGTTTGTTCATAAATGAAATACAATCAGAGCAGACCTAGGTATTAAAACAATCCAAATTGAAAGAAATGGTAAAAAAAGAAGGACATAACAATTATAATAGGAGGCAGTTTCCGAGAACTGCAAACAAGGGGATTTACTAATCATGTCCTCTCTTTGAAGTAAATAGGAAACCCAATTTACCTGGGTATTATCTCTATCTTGTCATAATGCTACAAAGAGTTGTAACTCTTCTTACTTTAATAGAATTTCGCACAAAAGCAGTTTACATTTTTTTCGTCCAATTTCTTCAATTCATTAATGCTGTAAAGCTATTACTAAAAATCGAAATATCTCAGGTATAGGCATTATTCAAATATGTTACATTTCGGTTAGCATTTTTTTGAGTGCTTTTCAGGAACTAATTCTATACACACTGATTCTGAATTTCAATGAACGCTTAGGGCAGTTAAAAAAATACTACTTCAATATTCTGTCTGTAACATGTACATGTACTACAAGTATTATATTCATGAGGATAATCCGTATGTAGTGTCGATTAAAAGTTTGTTCATTTCATCGCTTATGGTTAAAATTGAAAAAAATGAGTGAACAATTATTATAGACATATACAATGTATAAAGAAAACAAGCTAATTCAGAAAAGCTGTGTCCCCTGCATACTTAAGGAAAAAAGAAGAGTGTAACCTATTTACAATAAACCACTGGGATCGTACCTGGTCATTTCAAGGGTTTGGGGTGTTCAACATTAAAAGATTGGAAATAATTGGTATGATTTAAATGGACTGCCGAAATATACAAATATGTCCAAACCTTATCATGGTAAATTAAAATCAACAGTAAATCACTATAACAATAGGGCGAAAATTTATTAACCTAACATTTAATGATGCCCATTTCGGACTAGCATTTATATTTGTAGGATGCCTTTTCAGGAAGTATATATGATAGCCCTTCAACCACTACAACTCATTGTAAGATGTCTGAATTTCAATGAACGCGTCTGCATTGGCTGACCAGGTTCAGACACAACAAACTATGGCTAGCCTCTATATTGTAGGTCATCCTAGTTTGTGGCAGGCCTTAACTGGGCTGCTTTCCAAATTCACTCTCTAACTGTAAAACAGGAGAGGAATATGTATTTCACGACAGTCTTCTTTATTTTATATTGACCACTGCAGAGATACACAACAAGTCCGTACTGTAGAGGCAAGTGAGGCAAAATAATTTTTTTTTAGTTTTCTGAAAAGTGGAAAATTTCCATTATGTGTGTCTTTGTGCTAAATAAAAATTTTCAACTTTTGCTTCAATTATTGTTAAGCATTCATGTAATTTATTTTCATTTCTAAAGAAGGCATGTAAAATATAATTCAAAATGTTTGTTTTGTAAATTGCGATTGTTACACATCCCTTCTAAGAAAAAAAACCACGTGCAGGGCTGTTTTTAATTTGTACTTGGCTTTCATGGTCACTGAAGATTATAAGTGGCTTGGAGCCATCACTTACGTGACAAAGGACCACGGTTTTTGGCATTTGTAAATATACTGGGAATCGAACTGCGATGTATAAGGATTAACTCCATAGTTCATGAAGCATGATCTAACCACTGTGCCATGCAGGCTACAATTCAAAACGTATAAGTGAAAAAATCCTTTATTTTCTAATATCTAGGTTTCAGGATCCCCATCCCCCTGGAAACCCCCAATCACTGGGCAGGTACTACCCTTGCCCCGTCTAGGACTATGAATGCCCAACACCCTTGCCTCACTAAAAATTTGAGCCTAGTTACGGCCTTGAGAGCTTTTCAAAAAGCTTGCCTGACTTAATCAATCAATATCTGTAAGAGAAGTGGTAAACCTTTTGAGCAATACTTTTTAGCTCACCTGAGCCGAAGGCTCAAGTGAATCAAAAAGTTTGTTCGTTGTTGTCATCGTCGTTGTCGTTGTTGTTAAACATTTTCAAAAAAATGGTCCAATTTCAACCAAATTAGTATGAAGACATATACAATGCCCTTATAAAGAAAACAATTTGTTAAAAATTAATGAAAATTTTTAAAAAAATCTTCCTGCATACCGCTGGGCCAGGAAAAAAGAAGAGTGTAACATTCTAGGTAGTGTAGACAAATAAACCAGGGTGGGACCAAAATGGCCGTCAAGTTTTACATAGGAATATATAGGAAAAATTTTTAAAAATCTTCTTCTCAGAACCACTGGGCCAGGAAAAGAAATTCATGTGAAATAATTGGTATGATTTAAATGGACTGCCAAAAATATACATAGGAATATATGAAAAATCTTTAAAAAATCTTCTTCTCATGGTAAATTAAAATCAACAGTAAATCACAGGTAGTGTAGATTAACAATCGGAGGCAAGCCAAAATTAGTTTTACATGGAATATATAGGAAAAATCTTTAAAAATCTTTTTCTCCAGAACCTCTGGGCCAAGAAAGATGAAACTCATGTGGAATCATCCTCAGGTAGTGTAGATTTCAGTTTTTATATATTGTAGGATGCCAAAGTTATTACATAGGAATATATAAGAAAAATCTTTAAAAATCTTCTTCTTCAACCACTATGAAACTCATGTGGAATCATCCTCAGGTAGTGAAGATTCAAGTTTGTTCAAATCATGACCCCCGGGGCAAGGGTGGGGCCAAAATGACCAACCCAAGTTTTGCATAGGAATATATGTCTTTAAAAATTAAGGTCAGGAAAGATGAAACTCATCTGGAAGCATCCTTAGTAGTGTAGATTCAAGTTTATTCAAATTGGCTGACCAGGTGGGGCCAAAAGCCCGAGCAGTTTTACATAGGAATATATAGGAACAACAAACTATGGCTAGCACTCTATATTGTAGGTCATCCTAGTTTGTGGCAGGCCTTAACTGGGCTGGCTTTCCAGGAATATATTCACTCTCTAACTATAAAACTGGGCCAGGAGATGGAATATAACACGTGTAATTCTTATTTCACAAGGGTGGGGCCAAAAACACTCGTAGGAATATATAGTATCTTTAAAAATTTGCTGCATCCAAAGATCTACCACTGAACCACTGCAGAGTCTCTTGACTTATACACAACAAGGGATATATAGGGAAATCTTTTAAAATCTTCTTTTCAAGTACTTCAAAGCTTGTGACTTAATCAATCAATATCTGTAAGAGAAGTGATAAACCTTTTGAGCAATACTTTTTTGTGTTTGAAATATGTCTTTATTTGAGAACCTTGTAAAAATATTTAATTATTTAACTTGTAGAAGAACGATGCCTTTGCTGCATTCTGAAGAGTTGTTAACAGAATAGTTAACAATGTGGGTTTTCTGCCAATCGCAACTCCTCGGTCCCACTCCTCGGGCCTTATCTATGGAAGAAGACCACAAATGTATTGTTAATTTATACGCCATGACACCTCCTCCCCTTTTTCACAAATTTTGAAATAAAACCATGGATGATGTATATACACCTATTATCTGTGGAATATGGAGTTAACTTTATTCAATGTAATGATATTATCTAAAATATACTATAGAAGGGACTTCTAACTCCGTTTTTACTATGAACAGGAAATGTATAAATTTTTAACATCCGATGATGTCGATACATTCGAGTTCGTTTTTCGACCTTTGACGAAAAGACCCGAGATGATGCGATTGACTTTTCTGCAAGTAGATTGATCTACCCCTGGATCTAAATTTAAAAAAGCTACACCTATTTTGAAATCTGTTGTCAAATCATTCATTGTGAACATTTTAGAGAATTGATATAACTAAATACATATGTTGTAGGAAAGCATTTTCTCCAATGAAGTAAACAGTAGTAGTTTGTGTTCATTGATCTTTTTTTTCTGAAAGGTGGGTACTATAATTTTTTGAGAACGAAATAGGTAAAACCAACATTTAGGCCTTTGTGGAAAAGAAATCCAAGATTTCGCACAGGTACAATTTCTTTCGTCAAATCGTCTGGAATCTGGTTGAACTGCGTCGATCGTTTGCGGTGATTGGACTAGTCCATTAAAATATGGACGGCGCGCTTGATTTTTCTACACCTTACTACACCCGGTGTAGACGATTTACACCCAATAATCAAGTGAAATTGGGTGTAGTGTGGCAAAAACAACATGGACGTCAAAATTTTAACAAACTGAGGGGGGCCTATTTGCAGAATATTTTTTAATAAAATATTTGTTGCGATTGTGAATATTCTTTTAAAATTCCTTTAAAAACAAAACATTTTACAAAATGCAAAGAATTTTTTATTAAACATTTTCCTACTGTCCATAATTTCCCCTATAACCAAATATCTAGCTATAATCAAATATATCTAGAGACTTTAACACCCAAACTTGCAAAATTTGCTTATTTTTTTATTTTACAAATTATGAAGTATTTTATTTTCCATAAAATGCACAAAACATGGTCCACTATATTACTAAAAACAATTCATCACAATGAACCTATAAAATACTTGACAGTAAACTCAAATACAGAAAAAGAAATTCTGCAGTTTTACCGTTGCCTCATTTGTCAGCCATATTGAATTTTAGGTGTAATTACCAACACATGCCCTGCACAGGGTGTAGAAGGTGTACACCAAAAGTGTACACTTTTGCACTTGATTATGAAAAAGTGTACACCGGGTGTAAGGTGTAGACAAATCAAGCGCGCCCGGAATAAACCAACAGAGGGGAAACAAATTAGAGAAATCATTTCTTTTGTTTTGCATGTCCATATTCTGATACATACGATTCATATGTTGTTTTAAGGTATAAGATAAAATTTGTAGACAGAATTTCTGAATCATATGAAGATGGAGGTTACAATAACAATTATTCCATGGAAGTTAGCACCCCCATTCATACAATAGAACAATCCAAGAAAAGGCGCGAAGATCGCTTACTCATTTGGCGCGAAAAGAGCGATTCACCCCTTTCGTAGAATGTAAATGGACTGATCCAGTAGTATAGAAATGCAGAAAAAAAGATACACAGACACGTTGAAACGGTAAATCACATGGATTAATCTGTTTCATGCAAACAGAGAAAACAAAGTAAATACTGCATTATTTTGCATCAGTAAAATCATTGTTTCCCTGAAAAATGTTTCTTTTAAAATGCAGGTAAAAGATTTCCAATATAAATCAGCTTGCACAAAATCTAGCTCTCTGGGTATGATCTAGGCTATTAGTTTCGGATCAAGCAATTATCAATCCTTATACAGCCTGACGCCGTGACGTCAGGCAATAAATGTCACGTGATGTGAACATTGACTAATTAGAAACCCCGCATGTTTGAACCTTAGAATCCCGAAATCATTACAGCAGCATGCCGGATCTGGGAGGGGGTGTCGAAGCTTACAAGCTTTTTAAGATATCACGGAAGTGAAATTTTTACATACACACAGAATGTATGAATTAAATTGAATTTACAACCTTGACCTTTGGACGACCTCAAGATAAAGAGGGGTCTTTCTTAGCCTATAGGTAGTTATAGTATAAAATTCCACTGCAAAAGCTCAAAAGCTTTTGGGGATATCACACGGACAAGCAAGTGAAAAAAAAACAGACAAAATTTAGGACCTTGACCGTTGGACCTCAAAATCAAAAGGTGTATTCCTTTTACCATGGGGAGTAGCTGTGTAAAATTTCATCACTAAAGCTTAAAAGCTTCTCGAAATATCTCGCGAAAACGAAAGTGTTGCACTCAGAAATACAGAAGGACGGACGAAAAGACAGACCGAAATTAATTTTACAAATTTGTGAAGGCAAGGGACAAAAACAGTATTTTTCGAAATAATTCGAGTATTATGTACTATAAGGTTTTTCGACAAGTCTTTCGGATCAAAAAACCATAGCGGTATAATAATGATAAACAGAAGCATTTTAAGAGGTCTATATATACGCAGAAAGGTAGAAAGACCTAATAACAGTGATCAGACTCATATATCTTTTAGAGAATTATCCGAAACAAGAAACCCATGGGCCACATCGCTCACTAGAGTAACTTTGACCATGCTAGCTGTTCTTTACCATACCCCCCCCCCCCTTTGTCATACCTATTGTCACCACACCCTACCACCAGGGGTCATGATTTGAACAATTTAGAATCTCAACTACAACAGGATGCTTCCACAAAAATTTCAGCTTTTCTAGCAAAGTGATTCTTGAGAAGATTTTTAAAGATTTTTCCTATATATTTCAATGTGAAAGTTAATTTCCTATTGTGGCCTGGCCCTACCACCGGGGGTCATGATTTGCACAATTTAGAATCTACACTTCCCCAGGATATTTACGCATCAGTTTCAGTTTTCCTTGCCCTGTGGTTCTTTAGAAGATTTTTTAATGACCCCACCCCTATTTTTGTCTTTTTCTCGATTACATGTATCTCCAATTGCAACGGGACTTGGTCCTTCATTTTTGTCCCCCGCTTTCGCAAAAGCGAGGGGACATTAAATCTCATTCGTCTGTCCGTCAGTCTGTCCGTCTGTCTGCCCATAACTTTTGATTTACTGGAGCTATGACTTTCATATTTCAAATGTGTATTTCTTGTGACAAGACCTTTCTTTGACCTTCTGACCTTGGAATTTTGTCCGTCTGTCAGTCCATCACAAAAACATTAACCTTGCCCATAACATTTGATTTAGTGGAGCTATGACTTTCATATTTCACCTGTGTATTCCTTGTGACAAGACCTTTCTTTGGGTACCACCAAATTTGACCTTTTGACCTTGACCTTGGAATTTGATCCACTTTTACACAAAAATTCCAAACTTTTACTTTGGCCATATCTTTTGAATGGTAGAAACTAGGACTTTCATATTTCACATGTGTATTTCTTGTGACAAGACCTTTCTTTGACCTTCTGACCTTGGAATTTTGTCCGTCTGTCAGTCCATCACAAAAACTTTAACCTTGCCCATAACTTTTGATTTAGTGGAGCTATGACTTTCATATTTCACCTGTGTATTTCTTGTGACAAGACCTATTTTTGGGTACCACCAAATTTAACCTTTTGATCTTGACCTTAGAATTTGACCCACTTTTACACAAAAATTCCAAACCTTTACTTTGGCCATATCTTTTGAATTTTAGAAACTAGGACTTCCATATTTCACGTATGTATTTTTTATGGCAAGATCTTTCATTGGATACCAACAACTTTGACCTTGACCTTGGAGATTTCCGTACTTATGAAAAATTTTAACCTTGACCATAACTTTTTAACGGAAAGGGCTAGGGCTTTCACCTTGACCTTTGAGTTTGACCTTCTTTTCAAAAACTATGACCTTGGTGACCAATTTTGAACGGTAGAAACTATGACTTTCATATTTCAGATATGTATTCTTTGTGGCAAGACCTTTCATTGGATACCAACAACTTTGACCTTTTGACCTTGACCTTGGAGATTTCTGTACTTATGAAAAAACTTCAACCTTGACCATAACCTTTGAATGGTAAGGGCTAAGGCTTTCATACTTCACGTATGTTATTCTTGTAAGAAGACCTTTCATTGGATACCAAGAACTTTGACCCTTTGCTCTTCACCTTGGAGTAAGACCTACTTTGCAAACACTTTGACCTTGGTCACAATTTTTGAACGGTAGACACTAGGACTTTCATATTTCACATATGTATTGTTTGAGGCAAGACCTTTCATTTGATACCAATAACCTTGACCTTTTGACCTTGACCTTGGAGATTTCCATACTTATGAAAAAACTTTAACTTTGATCATTACTTTTGAATGGTAAGGGCTAGGGTTTTTTATACTTCAAGTATGTTATTCTTGTGAGAAGACCTTTCATTGGATACCAAGAACTTTGACCCTTTGACCTTGGAGTTTGACCTACTTTTCAAAACTTTTACCTTTCCCATAACTATTGAACGGTTCGGGTTAGGGTTTTCATCCTTCACATGTATTACTTGTGACCTTTCTTAAGAAATAAACGACTCAGACCCTTTCACCTTGAAGTTTGACATACCTTTCAAAAATTTATCCTTGACCATAACTTTTGAACAGGTGGTGCTAGGGATTTTGTATTTCACAATCGTATTTCTTGTCAGAAAACCCTACTTTGGGTAATAATATATTTCATTTAAGAAAAGTTTGATCTTCGTTATGTTGTCT